AAAAAAAAAAAAAAAAAAAAAGGTTAAAAAAGAAAGATCTGCCAACAGACCAACCTAAAATGGAATAAACTGCCTTGGGAGTGAGCATCCTGTCATTGGGGGAGATCAAGCTGGTGCTGGGCACTGGCCCACAGGACACCGTAGAGGTGACTCAATTGCAGGACAGAGGGTTGATTCTTTGATGTTCAGAGTCCCTTCCACCCCGAGAGTCACTGAAGGAGCCGGTCCTGGGACAGCCCCGTTCGCCGAGTCCCGACTCTGGGCCCAGTGCTGTGTGAAGGGTCCTATCAACTCTAGAGCCTTAAACCTCACGGCAAAGCTGAGGGAGGGACTACCGCTCCCCTGTTCTACAGACAAGGAAAGGGCTGGGGGGGGCAGGGGAGGGCCAGGCCCCCCCAAGTGTCCACACCTGCAGGGAAGGCGTGGCACCCACTGCCCTCCTGAGCCACAGAGGCCCCAGTCATCAAAGCCCAGCTCTCACTCACTTCCCCTCCCCAAGAGGTCCCCTTCACCAGTCGGTCTGGTTCTGTGTCCTCATAAAGGGTGTTATTGCCTTAAATTGGCACAAATGTATTGTGCTGAATTTTTTAGTATTCTCTTTTACTTTAAATTTGAAAAAAAAAAAGGGTGGGGGGCCAGGGTGACTCAGTCGGTTAAGCGTCCGACTTCAGCTCAGGTCACGATCTCACGGTTCATGAGTTCGGGCCCCGAGTCAAGGCTCTGTGCTGACAGCTTGGAGCCTGGAGCCTGCTTCGGATTCTGTTGTCTCCCTCTTTCTCTTCCCCTTTTCTGCTTGTGCTCTGTCTCTCTCTCTCTCTCTCTCTCTCTCTCAAAAATGAATAAACATTTTAAAAAATTAATAAATTTGAAAAAAGTTAAGCCTTCAAAAAAATGACAAGAAAAACACACTAAAGGGGTCGCTTTCACCTAGATTCAGCCATTATTAACATCTGGCTATGTGCGTTCTCTCTCCACATATCTATATACTTTCTTTGTGCTGACCCACAGCAAAGTATGCTGTGCACATCAGAATGCGTCATCCCTAAATGTCCCGGGTGCCTCCGGAGAAGAAGGACGTTGTCTTGCACAACCCGGGACAATGATCACATCCAGGAGAGTTCACACTGTTCCCTGACATACAGACCACATTCCTTCACCAGCCGGCCCAGCGCTGTCCTTTCTGTCATTTTTCTACGTGCACGTTTCCAGTATGTGGGTTCTTGTCCCCATTCCCGCTTCTTCCACTCAGCCCATGATGTGGGATCCCTGCGTGTCCCTGAGGGCACACGCTCCCCTCCCCGCTCCCCAGTGCGGACGCCTCCCACAGACAGGGCTGGACACCGTCCTTCCTACCTGTCCCCTAGCCCAGCGCTGCTCACACTTTGCTCCCAAACTACCCGGCGCTCTTGGGACATGACAGAGTCCGATTCAGCAGGATGCCGGGAAATCTGCATTCCTGACCCCCTCCCGGGAGTTGCTGGCGTTACCAGTCCACACGTGGAGCAGTGAGGCCCCTGAGCGAGAAGTGGGGTGCACTTTTGTGGGGGGTGAGAGGTGAGGGCTGGACCCGGGGGCACAACCGCCGTGCCTCTCTGAGAGAGGCCTCCGGTCTGTGAACGCATATGCCCGGAGCTGAACATGAGTTGTCACCACAGTCACAAGCCTCGGCCAGTCCTGCCTTTAGCTCCTCTGCAAAACAGAGGCACAGAGAGGTTGTGCGACTTGCCCAATGCCACACAGCCAGAGAGATGGAAAGGCTGGTACTCACTCCAGCCAGGAACCATAAGGACAAAGCTGGCCGCCAGCGGAGATTAAAAGTGAAAACACTTTCAGGGGCGCCTGGGTGGCGCAGTCGGTTAAGCGTCCGACTTTAGCCAGGTCACGATCTCGCGGTCC